TCTCCGTCTGCTCTTGCATTCGAGGTGCCGCGGTAATGTGTATATTCATCAGAGTGCCACCAGCAACGCGCGCTTTCACGCCGCCGTGAAAAGGACGATAACGCTCGATTGTATGACCGTCGAATAAAGATGACGAAGGGAAGGCGGGGGAAGAGATGCGGGGAGGGTCGGAGTTGTTGCGAAAAGAAGTCTCCGAAGGGCATTAGTGCAGGGCTGTAGTTCCTCGTATAGAAGTCTCCGGGGGAGATCTATTTTTTTATTTCCTGTGACACGTCTAAAGATCGCGACGTGCGGCTGAGGAAGGGCCCCTGCGCTTTCATCTCGCTGGCTTCCGGTCGCTGGCCAGAAACGAATGCTTTCGATCGGTCGCCGTCACGACGTGAACGAGACGCATGGTGAGAAGGGACAGACACGGCAGAAGCAACGCTGAGGTTCAGCGCCAACCACGTGAGATATTTCGGACTTTACCAAGGAAAATCTCCATTCCGTCCCGGCTTTTATTTTCGCCTCTTCGAACGCCCTCCACTATCCCCGTCTTTCGTCTCGAGTGCCACTATTCATTGGGGCCCTCCTCTCCAGAGTCACCGAGTGTCCTCGCAGTTCCGGCCGGAATGCAGTCACTTAGGGATCCTGTGATTTCGGCGGTCGCGAACCAGCTCGATTTCTCCGCCGGCGAATCCACCGCCTCTCCGGGCGGACGCGATAAGCCGGGCGTGTCCTACGATTTCTCGATCAGCGACTGTTTCCCCTCACCATGATCACTCGCAGCGTCTTGCGAGAGCCTCTTCGCAGCAGCGAACGCGTTTTTCTCACGAGCGGCGTTTCGTATGTCCAATTACACGCAGGAGAGAGTCGCGTTTTACGACGCGATGCGCCACGCCGCGCGGCCCGCCACTTGTCTCGGATCGTAATTATCAGGCCGCGTAACGTATCGCGCCTCATTAAGTCGGGGCTGTAAAGGAAACGGCGCTAAGGAAACGCGAAATTCTCATCCAGGCAACTTGTTGCTGTCGTAAAAAAATCATTTTCTTCGGGACGTAAGCGTTTGTTTACGATATAGTCCTTAAACTTTAGTACCGAGCTCGCTCCGGCCGCGCCCTTTCAAACCGGCGATTCGCGGCAATTAGTTCCCGTGCTGCCCCTTCGGGTAACAAGACTGCCGCAACACGCCCGTCACGTGTGTTAGGGACACGACCGAGCGAAATTTTCGATACGTTAATCATTCGCGCTCCACATTGCGGACTACCAAATAATAGTATCACTCGCTATTTCGCCGGTATTGTTTTTTTCCCCTATTTAACTGGTCGCGACGGTGACCTAAAGGCATGCGATTTAATTAATACCATGATATTGCGCGAATGGCTGCAGCATAATAATTGCAATAATGGTAACATGTCACGATAATTGCAATTAGCGCGATCCGGTTGTGTGTGGACGTTTCATTGCCGGCGACGTTAAATTCGCTATTTGATGGTAAATCGAGAAACGAAATACTCGCGCGCGCGCTACTTCGATTTTTGATTCCACGTACCGTTTCCGTCCGTGTAATGTGTTAATTACGGTAAAATTGTGTTTAGAAAGGTAAACAGAGATTTATTGATTATCGAGCGCGCTTTGTTGTCGCGGGCGTTGCGCATCGATATGTGGGTTTGATGCAAATCGATCTTCGCGTGACTGTTGTTGCATCGAATTACGTACAAATGTACAACTTGTCGATCGAGTCGCTGGAGAGGCTCGCGATTTACCTTTACAGCGGCGGCCGAGAAGAGGCTGCCACTTATTTAAAGAGGGACGCGGCGATCGTCGCGTGCATACACGCGCAATAACGACGTGTTGAAGTCACGGGGAAACTCCGTAGGTATTTATTTACAAGCTCGGTGTATAAGCACGACTGGCTGTTGTAGCATTCGGAGGGACCTCTCGACAACCGCCACTTAAGCGGAACGCCGGAGGGGCGGCTTCCTTCCATCGTATTCAATTAGCGCCGCGCGCACGAAATATCAATTCCATCGGTGGAAAAGCGCTCTCGTTCAGCGTACATCGAGTGCAAATCCATATCGGAGAACGGAAGCTCTCACGGAAGCGTCTTCGCTTTTCCGGTAGCGGAACTGCCGCGTTAAATCAAGTTAAAAGTTGGCTGTTTAATTCAATAATGCGCCTTAGGTGCGTTAAAAGATGCCCCGGCCTCCGTTCGAGTTCCGACGCCGCCGCCGCCGGCTATATGTACGCTTCAATTCAATTATTTAATTGGACGCGAATATTACGTTTAATTACGCCCGGCGCGAAATCCCATTTTCGGGGCGAATGTATCTCCTACCGATTCCAATTCTAACGGAGACGGTTAAGCAGCCGATGGGTGGTGCAACGTTCGCGTGTTAAAATGTGAATGGACCCGGGGAACCGTTCGTTTATAATTGAGCGGCTTTCCAGATAATGTTATTCCAACATCAAACTTCGGCGCACTCAAATGCCACGTGGTGCCATTTAATATTCAGTTTCGACTTCGCATTGACAAATAATAATAATAATAATAATAATTCATGATGCTCGCGCGCTCTATGATCGGAACGATCTCGGAAAACATCAGACGCAGCGGTATATAAAACAATATTCCTCTGATCGCGGTGCAAGCGGTATCGCGGAACCGCATTTCGACACGCGGATTAAACATTGCGGTTTACTTCACCGATGGGGCAACGTTAACCTAATTTCGCATGGGCGTTCGTACGAAAATAAACCTTCAATCGTACCACAGCGTTCGAGTGCAGCGCGCTGTACGAAGGTGCAAATAAATGCTGCAGCCTTTCAGGGAAATTAACGCTTCATCGATTCGATTTAACTCTCTGACACGCAACTTTCGCAAATTTCCGGCGGAAGCCTGATTACTATTTTATTTTTTTATTTTTCACCCTCCTTTCTCATTTTCATTTATTTACTCCCTTCTTCTCTCATGCGGATTCACATGCATAACGTACGAAATCATTCTGGCCCTGGCGATCTTACTGGTTTATCATATTCACGGCCTGAAAATCTAATTAGAAAGTTACGTTTTGTAACCGGTAACGTGTTCCGCCCTCTCACACCCGCCCCTTTAACTTGCATTTGTTTTGCGTTCAGCTTTAGGGCATATCCGCCTCATCCTTGCCCCTACTCCCTTTCTCTTAACGCACCCCTTCCGCGCGTTTCCCACGTATTTACCTTCTACATTAATAATCTCGTGCCTCTCTCGTTTGCGTTGCAGAATATGGACGTAGCCAAGGCCTCCGAGCGTCTTCTCAAGCTGGCGGTGAGTACACATATACACTAACATATACGTGTGCAAATTTATAAGCGCGTACCGGGTGTGTCCGAAATATACTGTCGGCGAATGCTATAAGCCGATCATTCCCGAAACTTTGTCACGAGGCAGACATTCTACGGCTCGAAGCCGCTTTTAAGTATTTTTTAACGAACGCAAACGCCATCGCGCAGATATATCACTCTGTATTGTGTCTGCGACTATATATTATAGAAAATATCACGTAAAAAATTATTTAAATACTCAAGTTTTATATATATATATATATATATATATTGCGAGATACGTCCTCCTCTTTTCAGAGGGGCATATAAATGTGAAGATCTGCAAAACCGTGTCTCCTTGTCAGCGTTAAGCACTCTTTAGCGATAATTCGAGTTTGCTCTTATATTGATACTGTGTGTTCACACGACCATATCTTATTTGCAAAACAGCATAGGTAGACACTTTCAACTTTCCACGCTAGACTCCCTCTTCCTTTTTCTCTAGCACACCTCTTACGCGAAAAGCCCTGAGGCAATATTTGCGAATTCAATCTCTCCCCTTCCACAACAAAACTCACTTCCCTGAACTTTGCCACTACCACGAGCTCGTTCGACAGCCAGAACGCGGGACAAAGAAAACTCGTATCGAACTACGTGTCGTCGATAAATGCCGCACTTAATACAACGCGTTGTAAATCCGTTCGGTGAGCATAAGTCTACAAGCTGGCACCAGACGGCCTCGGTTCTCCCCTCGCGAGCATTTAGCGAGAACATAATCCGAGATAGTTAAGATAGAATTTCAAGATGGATTACGCCGAGTATTCCGCATTCCGCGATAAAGACTATTTAGCGAGATTTAACTGTCTATGTCGTGCAGGTGCTGCAAATTTCGTTCGTCTCTCTCTCTCTCTCTCTCTCTCTCTCTTTCTCTCCTTTTCCCACGCCCTTACCCTCTTCTAGCGCACAAATTTTTTTATTCGAAGGGATGAAACGTAAGAGTCGGTTAACTTCGGCCCTTCCAGTTAGATCTCTTTATTTTACGATAAGTTGGATCTGTTGCACGTTGGGAAATAAAGTAAGCTATCCACGGAAACGTGAAATAGAAATGTTGTGTTTCTTCAAGGGAAAGCGAGTCTGGTAGGGAGGAGACCCTGCGAGAGCTTCGGGCGCTCGCGGAAAGTACGCCGGAATCTATGAATTCCTGATTTAAGTTTCGTCGTGCATTGTACGGCCGTATTCCCGTGACGCTTCTGGGTGAAATATGCACGCTCGGCGATGGAAAAAGGTCGTTTGTCGCCAAGTCCGCAGGGAGATCGATGCACGGCGATATGCCAAAGACGTTGTTTTGATACTTCCGATTCGTCTGTTTTTTTCTTTCCTCCCTTATCCTATAAAAGCAGTTGGAAGAAAGTGGATCTCGAAATGCAGACGGCGAATCTGCTTAAGGGGGAACATAATTCTTTCGGGTAATCGGATATAAAGTGTTCCGACGGTCTTATTCTTAACGGTAGTTTCCTCAGCGAATTTGAAGTCCTTTCCTCTCGGCAGCGTCAATCTTAATAATGTCGGCGTTTTTTCGCCGAAAACAAAACTCGCCCGAGGAATCTCGCGTTGTATAAAATTAATTTCTCCTTATATTATTCTTATATCCAATGATTTATTATTCTTTTCTTCTTTGCAGCCGGATTTTTGATGCTACTTTGATGTTCTTTAAGTAGCGGTAGCATAAAATGAGTTCTTTAAGAATTCGTTGAAACTTGCATCGTATATAGATTTAAATATGACCTAATTATTAGCGCATTAAAAAAAGATCGACGATTTGGAAGCTGAGATATCTGTAATTGAAAATGACAGTCTCCACACGTGTTCTTTGAGGTTAATGTCCTATTTTTAACCTCTATTTTTAATTTCTTCTAATCATTGTAAATGAAACATGAAAAACTACTTAGTGATATTAAGAACTAATATAGACATAATATATAAATTTCAGGGTTATTGATCGATTTGTTTTGAAAATACAGCGTTGTAAAGTTCATAACTTATAATAATTCTCGAAGTATATATGCATATATTTATACATTTGTATACCTCTTTCTTCGTTTCAAATTAACATTTATTATTTAGATAATAAAATAAATATATAATTTTGCTTGATAAGTACTAAATTTGCCAGTGCGTAGCTGAAAATACAGCACTCCGCGCTACTATTTTAAAGATAGTTAGCACCTACTTTGACGATAATACTTGTTAATTTCTCTCTTCGATTCTGCAGATTTAATTTTAACGTTACCTCGAAGCTATAAATTTTCTTGAAGTTGCGACCATTAAATTACGATATGTGACTATTTAAAACAATCTATTTCGACGCGAAAAGCAGCGAAATCGAAAATCGAAAGTATTACCATAGACAAAATAGAAATAAATGGTCATCATTAAAATTGAACCCATTTTGCCATGTACATTTTCGCTTTTACCGTGTTACAAAATCGAAGGTTTAACACAGGGCCAAAATAGCTACTCCGACGGACTTTTCCGCAGTTCAGGCCGGTATTTGTAGTTGAGAGAACGTACGACTGCTCCGGAACGCGTTGCACATCTAGAACACGCTACATATAACGCGGAATAAAAAAAAATGAATCGATATGCGCGAAAGATTCGCTCATGCGAGCGCTATAGCGCCCGTCGTATCTTTTTATTCGTGTTCTCCTTGCATCGCGTACGCCGATACGCTCTGTTACTCCTCGACGTCCAGTCCGGTCCGAGCGCGATCCCGCGTCCGTTCGTTCGCCGTCGCTCGTTATTCTCTCGTTAGCTCGGATGCTCCGGATCGGAACTAGCCGGCCGTAGTGTTTCGAGCGTCGGGCGAAACCCAGTGAACCGAATTCAATTATATGAATTCGTCCCAAAGCGACTGTCCTCGGGAGCGTGCAGCTCGCGCGCGCCGTCGTGCCGCGAACGTCCGGCAGACGTCGATTATTCGCGATTAAAACAGCGACCGACGGTCGTGCATGACCGAGCTTTGTTATGGAACTTTCGCCGCGTTAATTGTGCCGGCTGCGCCGTTAATTATCGCCGCCGGCCCGCGTCGCTGACTTTTCCGTCGAGGCGAGCGCAGAGTGCCGATTCCGGCAATTTACAGCGCGAAATCAACGAGTGCTCATTGTTTATGGAAAATTTCAATACGATTAAGCCCGAGAGCGCGGCGCGAGTATTATACGGCGCCACTTCGGCGCACGACATAATCTGATTGTGTCCGTTGATTAATCCATTTTGCGCGACTCGATCCATTGTCGCATCAGTGTTACACGCGGATCGACCGAACACGCCGGAATTAGATACTAGGATGGACACGCGGCGGCGGTAGAATAAATTCGGCGAGCCGGGGGAAAAAAAGTGGCGCGTGAAAAAGGAAAGTCTCCCTCGCTCGCGCGTTTTCCCGGGGCTCTTTCGCGCCGGAATAAAGCATTCCCCCGCGGTCGATAAAAGCATCCGGTCGTTAAAACAAAAAGAAATCACTCGATGTGTTCTTTAATAACGTACGAGGAGAGAGAGAGAGAGAGAGAGAGAGAGAGAGAGAAGGAGGAGGGGGAAAGAGGGAGAACACTAGCCCCGAGACAAAAATAAATTCCGCCGGGGCGAACGTGCCCCAAGATGAGCCCGCGCGGTTCGGAAAGAGGATTTCTTTCCAATAAGGCGAGGCGAAGGGTTGCTCATTCGCGGCGACTGCGACGCTCTGTTTGTCCCTGCGCGCGGTGGAAAAATAATTGTTTGCCGATCGCCAGGCTGAGTTCGTCTCCTCGATCTTCGCGCACCCTTACTTTCCGTTTACACCGCAAATAGCCGCGGGCCGTGCCGTGGACCATGGGACCCGTGACTGTCGAGGGTTAATTGCGGTTCTTATGTACGAAGTCGGTCCGGGGGGGGGGGGGCGTCGAAGAAACAGGGCGGAACTGCAATGCGGGACGAGACTTTAATCTCGTCGTAATGGGGAAACGCAATTTTCCCCGTAGTCCGCTCGGCGAGAGAGAGAGAGGCCCGACGCTTCCCTCGTCGGCTTGATCTTGCCTTTTACACACTCGCCCGCGCGCCCTTCGCGCGCGTCAGTGCCTCGTTCCGAAATCCCTTTGACTTTGAGAATCGCCCAGAACGCAAAACGACGGCTACGACGCGGCGCCGTCGTCGTCGTCGTCGTCGCACGATCGTCTCGCAGCCTTTATCTGTCGATCTCGAGGGTTGCACATAGTGACGGACACGATCCAATTTTCGAGACGCGTTACTCTCCCGGCGATGCAGAAGACGTTCACGCGTCGGTAAATATAGAATAACCGGGGGATACCCCATCCCCAATGTAATATCGACCCCGCGCGCGTTGTGTAGCGGTGCGTATACGGCGCGGCTGCAGTTGCTCCCGAATTGTTTCTACCCCGGTCGCGGAAAAGAATTGATTAAATATTTACAGTCATTGTCTATTCCCCCGTGTGATCCTATCTGAGCAGTCTTGCGCGGCAACGTCGATTATTCAGCATTTGCATACTCATTCCTGAAATACAGCTCGGGTTCCGTACTCACGAGCCAATAACCGGCTCTCTCGATAAAGTTAAAAAATTCAATCTGCCTATATTTACATTCTCTATACCGGGCGTTATTACTGGGTTATACCTTTCACATGTTAATGTCCTTCCAGATGTAGCAAGCGTAAACGTCTCCGGGAGACGGGTACACGCTGTGCGCACCCTCGGGACACGAAGAGAGAGAGAGAGAGAGAGAGGGAGAGAGAGGCGACAGGGATGATGGTCGCGCCAGTGATCGAGAAGAAAATGGAAAATATCGATTAGCAGCGTAATGCGATGCACACGGGTCGGCCGGGTCGACTTACTCCTCCCTCTGCCTTCTCATTTCTCCTTTTCGCGGCGACTACTAATGACGCGGGTACGCGCCGGCCGAGTACCGAGTCTACATATCGATACGCGCGTATGTTGAAAATCCCGCGGATCGCCCGCCGCGCCCTGTAATCCGATATTCCTGCATTATCGATGAAAATCGACTGCCGGATGGTGCGCATAAGCCAAGCACGCATTAATGTTATGCGACCGGCGATGGGATCAAGCACGAATCGAACGGCACTGCTGGTTTCTTGCGCGGGGATCGATGTTCGAGCTTTGTATCGATACGAACGAACGTGCTATCGTTCGTGCAACGCGCGGTGTATTCAGCGCGATGACCTTTCGTTGCTCACAATATCGGAGCTTTTCCTTGAGTTACGTCAATCGGCAATGTGCTCTTCTGTTGATTAAAAGAATGCGGTCGAGATGTCCTTCATTTTTTCCCCACTCGATTTTCAATCCAATTTTCGCGTGATATTAAAGTATCCGCCAATCGGATCGCAAATATATATATATATATATATGTCTCAAGGTGTAGCCACTTATCGTTTCGGAGATAATGGACTCCGAAAGTTTCGATCTCGACAGGTGAAATAATCGCCATAGAACGGTAAATGACTACACCTTAAGGCATATATTTTTGTAGTCGGCTCAGTAAATACTTTAATCTGACATCAAAATTGGTATCAGGGTACAAAATCGAGTGGGAGAAAAATGGGAAAGACTACCCGTTGAACGTTTAGACCGCATTCTTTTTCCGTGAAAGCGCGCATGAGGACAGCCAGGATAACGATGTGCGTGTGCATCGCGACACTGATCGGCGATTCGAGCCCCAGATGATCCCGGAAATCCAAAAGTTGACGCAACACTCGCGAAAACCGTGGAGAGGGAGGGGAGACTGCGGATAAAACTGCGGATGGTATGCAAGAGATACGGGGTTTACGGAATTTGAAGATATACAGGTATCGGGGAACTTGAGAGGCGTCCGTATATCTGGAAATCGACATTTTTCAAGCCCCGAACTTTCCTACCACGGGCGAAACGCCACGCGCACACATCCTTTGGTCACGTTTGCTCGGCAAGATTTTACATCTCCCATATAACTCCTCGGGGAGAAGGCGCTTCCTTTTCAGGTAGCCTCTGGCCAAGGAGGCAGCTTAAAGTTTACCGCTCTTCCCTTTGTGGTATCGTCGACATGTCTCAAACGATTCACTGGCTTCTGCTCTGTCCCATCCTCTCCCACATCCTGCTCTGCCCCGCCAGCTCTCCTCCGCCTTCCTTTTTCTCCCTCGGTAGCATCCCCGGGTAAACGAAATTAAAACGCCGAGGTAAGTTTTCCCGGACTACGTGGACGCCGGAAGAGGCTCCTAGCAGCCGGAGGAAGTGCTGAAGGGCTCTCTGTCCTTTTTTCGCGAAAGTGCCGTGGATGCCTTGCGGCGCAAGAGACTTGACCTTTGTGCCTAGCAACATTATTAAGTCCTTTGCCCCGCGTGAGAGAGCTCGTGGAGGCACGCGGATGATACCGCGACTGGGCGGTCCCGAAATGGCATCCGAAACGAAATAACTTCGAAATTCTTCGCCGTGGAAGCGAGCGGTCCTCCGAGAAATTTTCGCGAAAGTATTCGTCTGATGTTACGTCAAGCTCATACTTATCCTTTTTTTCCTCTCCTCATCGCTACGCCTTTGACGCGAAAACATTTACTCCGGTTGCTACTCCGCCACGAAGGATATTAACGTCGTGATAAAGAAATAAAAATAAAGAATGAGAATTACATTTAAATCAACGAGGAACGAAAAGTAAAAAAAGAAAAGGACGATAATAATAACAACAATATGCAACTACCTACGCGGCGCAACTTGCTGCCTCGCCCGGCGTTTCCTTCGGTAGCGTTAAGAAAATGAGGATTGTTACGATAATATCGCCTTGCGATCATAAGTAAGGACGTAGCATGGTATTATGTATGCGATAAATGATCAAAGGCTTTGAAGCCGTTACTCGCTTCCATTAAAGCGTAATTAAAGGAACAGTCGGGGTAATTTATAAGTTCGTTATACAGTCGTCTCACTTTCATCTGCAGGCGCGTAAATAATACTGCAATACGCCTGTCTCCGCGCGCTGATTATCCTCGTTCCAGTTAACTTTTTCCGGCGTCATTACAGCGCATCGTATTTTATTCAGTCCATTAGGAACATGACGCATAGCAAGAGGCAGAAGGGGAGGGGGTGGCTTTGACGTTTTTCTTCTACTTTTCCGTAATTGCGGCTCCTTTCTACGCCGTTCGCATTTTGGACGTGCCTCGCCGCTCTCACGTGTGTATCTTGCTCGCGAATTTTACGAGAAATCGCTATGCAAATTCCTAATAATGTAGTGACACGGTGGAGGGAGGGATTTAAAATTCGCATTGCTCAACTTTTGTCTCTAATGAAAATTTATTTTCAAATATACGAGATATTATTGTAATTGTAGGAAATTAATTATCTGTAAGCTGTCTAAATATTTCGATAAAGAGAATATCGTATCGAGAAACGTTTACTTTAAAAAGTTTGGAATTTGTAACGTAATTCACGGTTTACTTAAAATAAATATATAATACAGCGTTTGCAATCAAATTTGACCGATGCGTTGAAAAATAATCATGATTATCGTCGATTATTTAGTTTCGCTCCATCGCTCCACTCGTTGAAGAAAATTTAAATCATGCTCTCAGAATAAAAGTACGTTTGTAAATGCAAGACAAAAATGGAAGGGTTTATTAATTAAGGCGTTATTAATATAATATTACTGTGACGCTGCTAGACGCTGCTCATCCAACATTCATATTTCTCGATATTAGGATGAGTTTTATTCTCGAAGCTATATTGCCAAGATTTCGGACTCATGAGATACTGTCGAGATAATCTTGTTACACAAATTGGACTAATACAGTCACATTCTTGGCGCGTAAGTTAATTTTTTCAGGCGATCTATATTTTCCTAATTCGGTTATCAATGAGATGCAATTAGTGCGCGACATGATATGAGGTCTTTATGTAGCTGTCTATTTCCGTCGTTATTTCAGATACCGAATCATCTAGTGTGGCTTTGCTTCTTCTACTTGGCATTTCACTCCTTCCTCAATCTGATGGGTGAGCTACTGCATTTCGCGGATCGGAATTTCTACTGCGATTGGTGGAACGCCAACAATATCGACACGTTCTGGAGAACTTGGAACATGCCAGTACATCGTTGGGCCGTGCGGTGAGTAAGCTGATTTTTATTTAAAATAATGCTCTCGATATACCAAAATAGGAATTTTCACATTCCAATACTCAGAAAATATATTCAAATTTAATATTTCGTTAAAAAATATAAGATATTTGCGCGACTAAATCATTAATCATTAAATTATATATATATTATATATGTTATACATATATATATATATATATATACATATATATACATATATATATATATATATGTATATGTACATACATGTATTGAATAAAATATTCGATAAGAATGTAAAGGATGATTGTAAAATAATTATGGAGCAGAATTTCACATAATCATAATGTTAAAACCGCAAAGTGAGGTGGAAACATGTGGAAGGGTTAATATATGTTTAATACACGAAAATTCTCCTGTCTCCCTATGTCTGTCTCTCTCTCTCTCTTACTCTTTCTTTTTATAAACCACACATCAGACATTGGTGAAAGATATAAATCCCCTTAAACACACGTGACACACTCGTTAACGAAGTTTAGCCTCAGTTAGATGGAACAGAAAGAGTCGATCAAAAGTCCGGCTTGTAGCGAGATACGACAAGAACATCAACTTTTCCACTTCCTCGCCCGTCTCTTTCTCTCTTTTACGCGCTCCCTTGCGCTATTTACTCTCTTCTCTCCTTAATACTTAGCTTTTCCCGTACTTCTCACGTTATAGAAGGAAAAACTCTTCTGGCGCTTTACTCCGCTCACTTTGCACCTTTGACTCGGCTGTGGGGGTAACATGATTATATAATAATGCAATACACGTCTCGCCGAGGTTATTTCGTAGATATGGTCGTCATTTCGACGCGAGGCACTCGTGTATCGTCTCGGTAACGCCAGCGGGCCGTACCAATTACGTACAAACATCAGATGGGGGGAAGAAAATGACGTTCTCGTTGCCTGCTGTCCCCGACACTTTGCGCACCGGATACCCGAGCGTATGGTAACACATGCCACGAGTGTTATTGCTCTTCTTTGTAGCTGCAAAAGCTACAAAAATCCTATTAACTTAATAAGTTTGACTGAATTTTGTCATATAAGGAAGCACGTACGTATTTATCGCCCGGATTTTACAGATTACATTATCACCATAACGTATTTATATATTATTACTGTTATTTAGTGTACAGATTGTCGTGATAATTGAAATTTCGAGGTTGAAGTTGCTCGGCCACGTGTGTAGAAATTTTCGCGAACGTGTTTCCCACGAGAAACGTATTATCATATAACATTACGTGAGAGACAACCTTTCGTCTGACAAAAATAGGCTTCCACGCGAAAACCTTTTATTCCGCCTAAAATGTCTCTCTCGGCTCATACATCTCGGCTGTCGCCGCCACATTAGATTATACATCCCTCGCTCAATACAATCAGCGAACTTCCGAAAGACTTTTCCGGCGGGCCTTCCATCTTCCACGGTTACCCATCGCACGTGCACCTAACAACTCGAGCCCATAGTGACGACCTCCTTTCAAGAGTCCGCGCCGGTTCTTTGTACTTCGAAAGTAGCCCAAAAGAAAGTTTAAATCCTTGTAAAAGTGGCTGTACAAAGTTCTTATTATGTGACCGAGAGAGAAAAGGGTGCCATCAGAATTGCCACGCGCAAACTGTCCGAGGTTTGCCATGAATGCCTTATAAAGGTCCAATCTACCACTCCTCGCGTCGAGCATTAGATATTAGGCGACGAATTTACTTTAATACCTACATACTCGCAAACGTTTCGCGCTTCTGCCCGGTATTACGGAACACCGGTGTGTAATACGTAGCGCGACGCTATTACGCGACGAAGACGATTAATCCCAAAGTTCACGGTTCCCCCATATATAATATCATGTGTAACATGTGTAAAAGAAAAAAAAAATATATATATATACACACACACATACACACGCCAGCTGTGGATAACCGCGGCGTAACCGAAGCCGGACTGTTTTGCAACACACGTCCTTATAAAGTGCGACACGTAGCATGAAAATGACTGGCCACGTTCCCTTTATAAATGACATAAAAACGAAGGAAAATGAGGCTCGCTAAAGAGAGACGCCACGCGTACGCACGAGTTTCCGAGACGCGAATTTTAAAGTCTCACCCCGACGCGCTTCTTTTTACCTCGGCGACGCACCTGCGCGCTTACGCTCGTACCCTTCCTCCTCTTCTTTTTTTTTTTTCGTCCCGACCGAGATACGCAGCTGCAATTGCAAGCTGCGACTGGCATGTAGCCATAGTACGTGGCGGGAGGGTCGAGGTGAAAATGGAAATGCTCCCCCACACGAGGGCGACGTAGACGCAACGGAGGTGTGTCGGCGTCACTGTCGTCGGCGGCAACGACGACGACGAGGAGGACGGCGACGTCTTTTCAGGTTTGTAATGGGAAAAGCCGATACGCATCGCGATGCGCACTTAAGGCTGTTTATTCCCCGCGGCACTTATAATACCTCTATAACTGGAGATATTCCCGAGCGCTTTGCGCAAAGGAGACGCTCGCTCCGGTTGGAGGGAAAGAAAGGGCGACGCGCTGCTCGGCGGTGAGATCGGGAGGTGGGGCAGGTGGGAAAGCCCTAAGAACGCGGTAAAACGCGCGTGGCCTGAAGTCCTCAGAACTGTCGTCGACGACGTCGTCTCACCTTTGAATTTTCTTCCTTCCTTCCGTCCCCTCTGCGCTCCTACCTTTTTTCGTTCGCTCTCTTGGAGCATCCTCTCGTGTTTTCCTTTCTTTCTAATGCGGCTGCACCGATAACCAGACAGCTAACGATTCTCTGCCGTGTTGTCCGTTTCTGCTCGCTTCCTCGCTTGCACCGAGCGAAAACGTTGGAACGCCGTCGTTCCGACGAAACTTTCCTGAATATCGCTTTAATTTTTTGGAGCTATTTCGCGCGTCTCGGCGTCGCCATCGCGTCCCTTATCTGCTTTATCAGGCCAACAGTTTCCGCGTGTATTCTGCGGCACAGCCACCGTCTAAGAGCGCGGAAACTGTAGAAATGCGTGCTCCTTTGTGATGCCGATAATAGCATTGTCGGCATAATAGGGGAACGTGCAGTAAATGCACTTCCCGTTGCCAGGCTTACAGCCGAAGTCCTTTAATCGATTGAGCTATTTAGAGCGTTTTCTATCAGGGGCTGAGTGAGCGACGACTTAGCCGAAATTCCGGCTAGCCAGTTCTTTTTCGTAATCGTCACCGGACCGGAAAGGAGTGGACAATTCACGGGCTCGAATCTAAAAACAGACGTCTCTCTTCCGTCCGCTTCACTCTCGATTGAGAATCCAAAAAAGCGCAGATCCCCTTCTTTATCCATGTTTTTTACAAGCAATGTGTTTTACGAAGAATAAACGGAGAACGTGTTTTACCTTATGTTCCAGACATCTTTATATTCCGGTCGTAGAGATGGGCTATAGTAAGACTACAGCGTCGGTGACAGTCTTCTTTATTAGCGCTTTCTTTCATGAGTATTTGGTAAGCGTACCCTTGAAAACATTCAAGATATGGGCCTTCATGGGTATGATGGGACAGGTAAGAGTTTCACGCGTTTATTTCACGTTGCGTATTGTTCATTGTACAAACACCGATCTAAATAACGTCAAGAGATGGATAAGATTTCAAGACTATACGGCTTTAGACATTTCTGATAATAGTCGGAATCGTTAAAAATTCCCGTCGATATAGAAAATTCGTCGGTAGATTCGTCAAATTCTAAAATTCTCTTCAGAAACATACTTAACCCTTTGAGTACTGAATTATTTTAAGATTTTTATGCCCATGGGACGGATTTAATTTGTCGCTATATGGATTAATATGTAAAAGTAATACATTTTATGCCCATGTAAGCAGATGACGAGTCTCACTCGTCAAATGTACCGAAAGGGTTACTTAAAGAAAAGAAGATGAGAAATGTTACATCGAAGCGTACGCCATAATTCATGATTAATATTTTTCAATCTCAATATTATATATAAATACTATAGAAATTCCAGGATTTCACACACAGATACTGATGTATATAATTTGTTAAATATTTGGTGATATATTACGTTATATACACACACGGAGCGATACACACATTGTGTATGCACGTGCGTGATATTCTGTCCGCTCATAAGTGCGGAAATCCTGGTCGTGCAACGTTAATTGTTCATTACAGATACCTCTATCGGTGCTGAGCAAGATGGCTGAACGATACTTGGGCGCTAGATATGGTAACATCGTTGTATGGGCGAGTCTCATCATCGGGCAACCACTTTGTATATTAATGTATTATCACGATTACGTTGTGACTCATTTCGGCGAGTCTCTGATCAAGGACTACTCTGTGGTGTAGGCGACATAATGAGATGGAAAGGAGACAAAGTTTCAGGAAAACTTCCAAAGATAAACTTGCGATTGTTTGTTCTTTTTTACGATTTTCTTTTTCGGTGGTGTGCGTTTATTGATAGCGAAATATATATAGCTTCCCGTTTGCATTTTACGCGCAAAGTAATTTCTTTTTAATTTTGCCGAAATCAGTAATTATCGCGTGATAATTTATTACCTGTGGGAATATTCGATAATGTGCATGTGCCTTAAATATAACTTTTGATTAAGTGAAATGTTGAAAGCTGCTGGCACAATACGGATTTAAACACACGGTAAAACGAAACCCGAATTGATGGGAGTCATTGAAAAATACCTTACATTTCACGGACTCTGTACATACATGTGTTACTAACTGCGCTAGTGTATTGCGAAAAATTTAATAATTTTTATACGAAAATTTTTTAACAGAGCTTCCTCGCCATACATGGGCGAACTTGTTGTTGAATAAACGAAATATTTTCTACTGGGTCTCGTTTAATTTCGTCCCACACCTTAAAAAAGCCACAGGGTCACTCAGGTAATATCCTTTCAACTGGAAACTGGAGGGCAGTCTCGCGGATCGCTGGAAAAACAACATTTTTAACGTAACACGATCCCGTATGTTTTTCCTCGCCAATGAGGCGGAAATCATATCGTTGGAAGTAACTTCTTTTTTTCGCACACACGTGCATCACTATCGAATAGCAAAAAGTAATCGCCATAAACTTTTATCGTAAATTCACGAAAATCGGACTGGGCAAAGCATTATGCGAGTGATACTTCGACCTTCCAATAAATTTCATTTCAAAGTGTCCTTGCGATTCTTCTTAAATTTTTCTCCGTATTTTTCAAAATTCTCTTTCGCCCGCAAAAACCGGGATGATTTATCTCTCGGCGCGACGTACCGACCATTAATCTCTGTAATTTCTTTAATCAACGGTTAAATCTTTCCGCCTTTTTACTTAATAGTCTTACGCTAACCATTTTATAACCATCAGTAATGGAAAATAAAAAGATGCTCAGGTAAACAGCGGTAGCTGGGTTGCCTGCTGGTTAAGCCTGCGTCGGCTCCAGGTAGTTAGGGCCACGTCACGAACGAAGAAACTTAGCTCTCGAAAGAAACATTTCTTCCATCCCTAACACTTAAGTTTTTCTTCCCCCGATGAGCCTGGATACCATGACACGTGTGTTCCGGCGATGGATAAATTAATGATGCTGAGGACGCTTCGGAAATACGCGTGTCATAGAATGATAGATTTCGAGATAGAAAGATATCGAGTGTATCCGCAAAAAAGTGTATATCAGTAATAATATTCTGTTATCAAGATCATTTGTAGTCAATGTTGCTTCACAGCGAACGCGCGAAATTTCCAACAAACTTGCACAGTCAGGCGGTGATATATTATCTAAACTGCTTCACAAAAGGCACCCTATATATACTATCTTTAATATTACATCGAGATATATATCTTCTTCATCTCCTGCTTCTAGGGTATTAAGCAGATAAGAGTTTTATGGACACCCTATAAGTAAGGTGAATACGATGCGTGTCGACCTTACTCAGGATCGCAATCTTCCAGAGCGACAGCGTGTGTCCTACGAGTATACGTCTCGTCGTAAAAGGAACTTCGACGTGACATTGGTCGTGCAACATGTAGTAGTTCCTTTAATACAGAAAGATTAGTTACAGAATCGAAAAAGGAAGCGATCGCTTTTGATAGAAGATAACGCGGATTTGCAAGGACAGGGCTTGGCAGTGTTGAGAAATTAGCATTTCGCCGGTCGAGAGCGACGCGAATGTAAATGTGAGAATGATCTTGTTAACAATTGTAAATGACAAAGCGCTTTCAGGGACTGGACTAAATTGGGTCATAAACTTAATTGTTACGAGAAGTCAAAAGAAGAAACAATTACTTTTAATATAAGATAACGTGGGTTCGTAACGAGACAGAGTTTGTCAGTGCTGAGAAATCAGCGTTTCGCCGGTCGAGAGCGACGCGAATGCAAATGTGAGAACGATCTCGTTAACATCTGCAAATGACAAAGCGTTTTCAAGGGCTAGATGGGAATATAAATTTAATAATTGCGCGGAGCCAAAAGAAGAAGTGATTAAATAAATTTCATAGAAGGTGACGTAGGTGATAGACCTTGTCAGTATTGAGAGATCAGCGCGGTTTCGCCGCGTCGAGAGCGACGCGAATGTAAACGTGAGAATGATCTCGTTAACATCTGCAAATGACAAAGCGCCGGGCGGCGCTAGGCTAGACCAGAAATTTAATAGTTGCGAAAGGGTATTTTCCCAGTGGCGAATACATCCAATGTCAGTCGCGACGCTCAACAAGTTAAATCTTATCAGCTCGCCGCTTTGGCTTTAGCGTCATTATAGCGCGCGCCTCTCCTAAATTGGCATTTGCGCCTGACGTGGTCAATAACTTTGTTAGCGCCAAAACTCTGAAGTACGTCCACTTTTGTCCCCCTCCCCCCCCCCCCCCCCNCCCCTCCCGGCAGCTGCATTGTTCCGTAAACTGATACGCGAGTCCCGTTGAATGTGCCGTAAAAGCAAGAATTACTTCTCTTGATACGTGGGACTTTTAATTTAATTGCTTCCACGGCGCGGCGCATTGCGCACCGGCGCGCTCTTAAATTGGCCCTATAAAAATGATGAAAAAAACACTCGCGCGAATATCTCGGCCATTTCTGAGGCACGTGGCTGACGTGTACCGCGTTACAATACCGCTGGAAGCGCTTTATGACGAACGGCTCGGCCATTTACCAGGACGAAGCGTGAAATTCATAAGTACCAGCGCGCTGCCACGTTAACGTTAATTTAGTCGAGTGTCGGGTAAATACACAACGACAACGAACTATTCTTCCCGCCTCTCTCCTCCCCCTCTCTCTTTCTCTCTGCTTTTACATCAGCCGCGTTGACCCTTCGACAAATCGTTTATTTGTGATCGTTCACCGAGGAGTGAACTCCAGCGACTCGACGACGGGGCGAACTTCGCACAAAGATTCAGTCACCGACGTCCTCCATCGAAGCGTCGCTGCGCACACATCTCTCGGACGCGTCGTGTCTCCGCAGCGGATGGGATAAAACGCCGATAAATTGTCACGTCGCGCGAACCTAAGACACGCTCGGAGCGGCGTATTTTTTCCACTCTAATGCAATCGCAAACAGAGGATTGAGTGACTGAAAGAGCACGGAGCGCGCGCGCGAGAGAGAGAGAGAGCTCACCGCGCCAGGCGACGAAGCATCACCGAAGAATGCATCGGTCTCGGTCCCCTCGAACGAGCGCTCGCGTTATCCCGTAAGGTGGGCCGTGGGGGTTGCGAAGAGCGCCGGAGAGGGGATGCCGGGGGGTGGCGGAGGTGGCGCGGCGGACTAGGAAGGTGGAAGGGTGGTCAGGGGGCACAGGGGGTGCAGTGCGAGCGCAACACGATGCTATAAGGGCGGGTACGCGGCGTAGCCTCCGCAGTGAGCGTCGTGACGCCTCCGCAGGAGTGTCGCGTGGAACGCACGGTCGGTGATCTCGCCGGTGCACGAGGCGTCCCGCTCTCTCGCGAATTGTCGCCGGTGTGCAGTGCCGAAGGAGTTGGTTCAGCGCGTACGTTCAGCCCGTAAAAGCCCGGAAGAGAGAGGGAGAGAGAACGGCGCGCAGGCCGTTGGTGCCGCAGCGTAGAAGCCGCAGCTGCAACCGCGTTTCGATCCACCGGGAAGAGAGCTCGAGCCCGGTCGCTCTCTCTCTCCGGATGACCCAGGACGGACTCCGCGCTGGAGCAACCCAGGTTGGTTTTTACGAGGTCCCAGAGAGCGCAGGGGGGAGTGCGCGCGGCGCTCAGGGAGTGAAAACGAGCGAGAGAGGCCACGAAGGCAATGAGTCTGTCCTTTGGAGAATGGTATACGCGAGACTCGCCGGGAAATCTCCGTCGCGCGGTGCTCACCGAATAATTGCTCGGCGCGTACGCAACATACGTAATTTACGTTCCATTCAATTTAAATGTGACACCCTGCAGCTCTCGTGACGGAACATGAAAGACGAGAGGGAGCGAAGGCGACGCGTCGTCAGCTATTACAACTGATAACGTTCACTTCGGATACGCGCGCGTTTGATTAATCTCGGGAAATATCGGGAAAGGCTCTCGTTCCGCGATTGCTTTCCGCGACACTCGGCCTGGGTTTAATACGCGACACCTCAATATCGGATTGAAGTACGCCTTTAGCGCCCGCAACTAGCAATATTACGCCGGGAAACGACATTCGCGAGCGCACGGAAATGCAATTATGAGTTAGAAATCGCGCGCCTGCTCACCGACGGTACGAGAAGAAACGAATCGAGTCGCGAAAATGTCATACGCGATAATGTCGTCGTGAAATTTCGCCGAATGCTTAAATCGCCGATCGTTGGATCGTTGCCTGACGAATCGCGGATGATGCGCGACGCGTATCGTAAACGTATGCAACTAGGTGAGTAAATTCGATTCCCCCCGCGATGTTTACTCGGGAGTGACGAGTATCCCAGTAAATCGAGTCGCGGACGGTTAACGAAAGCCGGATATCCGAGAGCGTCCTCGACGAGCGGACGGACAATGGGACCTTTTTGCCTCCGCTCTTAGATACGACGTCGTACAGTTTCTCTTCCGATTTCAATTACGATGTTGCGTCGCAGCGTCGCGCTACTTCGTTAGACGATCGCAGTAAAAAATATACCTCTAATTAAATATGCATTGAACTGCGCGCGCCGCGTAGCAAATTTTGCCCTTTTTTCACGCTTTACATCTCACTTTACTGTACTTTATGCACAGCTTAACGTACGGCGAGAGTTATTTTGTACATTTTAGAAATTATAATGAGGCTTAATTCAGTGTTGTTCGGTGTATCTCATCGCCTACTTTTATCGTGTAATCTGGCAATGCGCGATTAATACCTTGCAGTTGTTTAAAATGCGCGGCACAAAAATATCGTCAGTCAGTTTCCGTCACTTCTTCATAATCATTCGATCCGAATTTTTATTACACGTCTTTAGAGGTTTAAAATTTCGGAAAAACCTGTTTTCCTCCACATTTTCCTGCGAATTTTTTTGTTTTCTTATCTTCTCTACGGTGAAAAGTAAATGTGACAGATATTTTAACCGAATACACGTGAATTTTTCTAAATGGACTTTTGTACTTTCGGGACAGAAACCGAAGAAATCCGTGGGAAAATAGAAAAAATACGGTTTTCCGAAACTTTAAAACTATATGCATCTTATTTCAAGATCAAATCTTTTATCTTTTTAGCTAGAAAATAAGTAATTTCTGCCTTTTCATTATATTCTCATCGCGCTATCCATTTAAATGGTGTAAGCGGATTTCGTATAATGGTCTCTCTCGCATTTATCGTAGCTGTTGTTAATTCCCTGAGCTTTGTGAAACATCAATATGCGTTATACAATCTCCTTTATTAATAATTGCTATTGTGTGTTTGTGTACTGCAATACCTTCTCG